TTTCAAAAATTGGGTGATATATCTAAATAAACATTTTGATTTCCTGTCATAATTTCAGAGTAAGTTTTAATAGTGTTTTATATCATTAACTTTTTTCTAAGACATATTTTAATTTATGTTTAACTATTTTTCCATTGGGACAAGGAATATTTATAGAAATATTTATACTAAATGTTTTTATTTAGTTAGTATTTATTTATTTTTAGTATTTATACTAAACATGTTTAAGTAATTAACTATTTGATTCTTCTAACTTGTGAGTTTTGAGGATAACTCAGATAAATATAATTTTAAAAATCCTAAACTACATTTAACTACATGTAAAAATTTACGTCGTAGTTATATTTTTTTTTTGTAAAATCATTTTGGAAATAATAATTTGTATATTTTATCACGTGAAGTATACAAAAATTGCAATAATTGCAAAAAATTGCAAAATCGTTGAAAATTGAAAAAAATTCCATTATTAAATTAAATAGGAAGACTGTAATTAATCTGATTCGTATACATATTTGATCAGATTTGATTTACAGGGTTTCAATAAAAAGTTTGCAATATCAATTAAATCCGCTCTTTAATCATACCGACAACATCGTCCACACCGGTGCCCATAGTCGTGCGCGGAAATTTCGTACGGGGTGTGCCATGAAGACATTTTGGCCATTTTCCTTTATATGTGAGGCTCACAAATAGCCGAATAAGCCAAAAAAGCCTAACCTTCCATCCTAAAAAAAAGAATAAATATGGATTACATTTTATCTAATTTTTACTGTGTGTAGCTTCCCGAATGAATAAAAGTCGTAAAAAAATCACGGGTCCATGGCCCCGGCCTATAATAGGGCCCAATGATAATATTTGAAAGATATGTAGAAAACAGGGGAATAAAACCGTTTTTCAATAATAATTATTAATGGAAATTGGACAACAATCGATCGATTTTGTTTCGCGCACGTTACCGTACGTTTACGTTTCTTTTGCGGTCCGCGTAATCGAAATCCAAAACGGTTCGGTCACATTAACCAATTAAAGGTACGGTTTCCCCGCAAAGTCATTGATTTTGTTTACGCCCGAATCGTTGCAGTCGCGGCACTCGCACCGCATGCGATTTAGCAATTGACCAAAGGCTAAAATATATCATTTTTCGTACTGCACGCTTAAAATATTTTGTCGTACATCCCTTTCAAACGTTAACGGTAATGAGTAACACGGTTAAAATACGTGGTATTTTAGATTTTTCTGACGATACATCTTGGAATTTCAGAAAATATGTAAAATAATAAAAAAATAAAAAATAAATGTAAAATTAAAAATAAGTACCATAAAATATAGAGAACGGAACCACAACGCACTTTTTAATTTCGTGCTACACATTAAACACTTCGTGTTACATAAAATTGTGTCATCAAACTGCACACATGTCCCTGCAACTGACCTAAACTAAGGGTAGACGCGCGCGCGCGCACTTGGACAGCTCATTCCCTCGTCCCCCCCCCCCTCTCAATCGAAACGTCGCCCGTACGGTAGCACCCTCGGAAGTTCTCTGCCGCCCGGCCGTTGATTCGACGCGTTCGCAACGGCCGATGCTGCGATCGGTCGTGATTTATAACCGTTGCGGTCCAGGTCGCGCGACCGAGAACGGACCCGGAGTGCGTGGGTCGCGCGTCTGTGTTTTTGCAACGATTAAGGTTTTTCACGTTCGTCGACGATATCGCAAAACCATATCCACACGTAACCGCGTCGGGACCGAACTCAAGGGTCTCGAGGTCCCAAGAGCAACTACTTAAGAAATATGCATCAATAAAACAATAAAAACTGCTTTTAATCGTTATACGTTCGACCGTGATTTTATAAGAAATCGTATCATAATTCTAAAGCATATGTGCATTAAACGTAAAAGAACGTATTTACGATAAAAAATTGATAATTTCAACGATACTGTTTACTTAACGATTAACACAATTTTACTATTTCTGACTCAACGTACAACACGAAATATTTTCCCGTGTCGATCCATTTTGTGAGAAAACTTCTTTTTTTTTTATGTGCTTGGCCGAGGGCCCCGGAGAGGTGGTGGCCTCTAGGCAACTGCCTAGTCAGCAGAGGCCGAAGTTCAGCCCTGATCCGCGCATCATCGCTACGTTGTCTGTACACGCGAGTGCCCGACCGTAACTTCTTGTACATGCTTTAGTATGATAAAAAAAACATACAAATTTTCATCTCATGCGAATGAGATTATAAAATAGTTTTGCATAAAAGGCTGAGACGACGGGCCCTCTCGGGGGTACGACAGTCCCAGGGCTCTAGCCCTCACAGCCTCGCCCTCTGGCCAGCCCTGCTGCTGCTACAGGAATCCGCGACTCGACGTCGCGCCGCTTTTAGCTTCGGACTACCGACCGCCGGCGCAGCCGTTCACGCGTATACCGATAGTTATTCCGCTAAAGTCTCACCGGTTACCGTAAGTCGAGTCCACCCGTGTCCCGTGTTTTGCGCAATATATTTCAAGTACATTTTTATTGAATTACGTCTTTCCGTTTTTGTGTACATGCATATCAGCTAACCGCAGCGATACAGCTATTGACTACATGGTTACATCAATACTCATCAATACTATTGAGCGTGTTCAAATACGAACGCGATACGTGTTAATCTATTTAAAATTGATCTACGCGTCTGTACATTGTATTGCGGTTTATATAATAATACATATGTAAATCCACGCATGCGTGTCGAACACGCGTAAGATGCTCTGTAATATTTTTCCGTACAACAAGTTTGTGTGCATTATCGATCGTATAATAATGTACAAGTACGCGGCTTGTAATTTAATATTTCTATGTAAAATTATAGTTTCTATTCGGTATATTACAGGTGTTTCGTGTAGACGGTGAAGCAGAAAAAAAAAATAAAATAAAATAAAAAACGAAAAGCTATGTAACACGGTTTATAAACTTGTAATTAGTGTATCCGTTCGGAACATAATAATATTATGAAAAATAATTTAATCCAGTGCCACATAGTCGGTTTATCATACGCCTTAAAATATTTTGTTCTTCAATGCATTTTAACAACATTGTAAATCCCTTGCTATTGCATAACTATAAATAACGCGCGAACCAAAAGCAAAAATGTGCTGCACCGAATCGACGGGAACGACGTGGTCAATCCCACCTCTTGTAATGCTACATATTTCATTTTATACCTCTCCACGTCTCCTACTAATTCCACCGCTGCTCCAGGTTTGTACGGTATTCGTATATTTCAAGTATATTTCACGTTTTAAATCCGATCTCCAATGTCCAGCCTTTTTTTTTCCAAGACTTGTTGTTATTCGAGTCCTAATCAAGAAGTTTTTACAGTACAGATTGTCAGTCTACAGCTAATCTACCTAAAGGTAGGTATTAAGGTTATCGAAAGATAACCTTAAATAATCAGGGTACGCAGGGTCGTCACACCTGTATACTTGATGAAGTCTCCCTTGCGGGAATTAATTATTAATAAAGGGTTTTATACCGTGATAACACTCGTATCGATATATCAATATATATATATTTATATTGCATCCAAAAGAACCGAGTAGATACAATCGTTCCGATTCTCTCTTCTCTGGATTCGCACGAATAACATGTTATTATAATAACGTGCACGTAATAATCGGTGCATGATACGAATTATGATTTAGGGTTTGGACCTATTGCACCTGCAGTACGCCTCGCGTTACTTGCACTCCGCGAGATGAACGTACAATGATTTAAATTATTTATCAACGATCACAGCCCGACAGTGCTCCGTATCGACGAAATGGTTGATTCTGGTAATTCAAAATAAAAATAAAACTTGTTTATTTAGATTACAAAATATAATATTAGTGAAATTATTGATTAAATTATTATTAATTATTAATTATTAAATATCATCACACAAAAAATTAAAACGTTCGTAGACAAAGTCTAACTGAATCCACCCGAGATATTAGCAATACAGGAACGGGGGTTCGAACCAAGAGGTCCGTAAAGACGTTCGCTAAAATTAAGACGAACGTAGGTCCGGTCCCGGCTGTATTGAAACTAATTCTACTTGAGGTGTTCTAACATCCTTCTATTTGTATGGTTATGCTAATAATGATCGTGCTCGTGTCAAGGATCCGTTGGAAACTAACAGAACGTACCAGATCCTAAGTGCGTGTATTTCGGAGAAGTCTACGCATTAGTGCTTTTAAAACATAACGTTGTTAACATACTGTAGTAAGGCATTACACGTACGTAGTGTTTACCTCTCATACTAATGTAAAATTGTTCCACTTATCGTGGCGCACCTACGTGTTAGGCTTACTACGCACCTAAGGGGAACGAGTAGGTGGAATCGTTTAGATTCGTTTCCCCTCAGGTCTCGTTCCAAAGGAACGTTTCGTTCATGAACGGCCCATCACCACATGAAACGGCCGAACCGTTTAATTCGAAGTATGTACCTAAACTGCACGAACTGTAAACATCAGTTAAGAATCGCGAGGTCTCAACAAAATGCATTACCTGTAAACGATAAAATGCTTCATCGATATATCCTAGAAAACGGGAATTCTCGTCCAATATTGACTCCCATCCATGTTATAATTCTAACAATTGGAATGATCGGAGTTTAGGTTAAAATCAACGCGATGAAATTAATGTTTTGTAATAGTAACCGAAAAAAAAAAAATGAAAATAGTTTACTATTTGCATTATTTATTTTTTGAAAACAGTGAACAGTAATGTAAAATTCCGAAAAAAAAACAAAGGGTAAACAGTAAACATTGAAGTAAAAATTCTGCTTCCACTGAGTCTTGTAACCACAAATTATATGAACATCACAGTTACAACACAGATTTTATGAATTCATATTATCTGTGTTGTAACTGTGATGATTGATGAAGAACATTGAACACAATATGGTAAGTTATAAACGTTTTTTGTCATTTCGAAAACGATCATTTATCCTTATCAAAACAAGTGATAATCAAGCTGTATCAAAGAGAACGATTGATAACGACATGGGATTTAAATAAAGTTCATTATTTCTAGTACGTATTTTCTTACACTAGTTGTTGTGTTCTACTTATTGCTTAATGACCAGTCCTAATTATGTCCAACGTAAACAGTGGTGTTCAATGTTCAGGTTCATATCCGTCGCCTTTATCATTTTCCGAATTATGTTTATGTCTTTTTCTGTGAACACGACTGTAAAATATGCATTTTGTTTTTAGTTTAGCTAAAATAAATGATGGTATTCACTAAAGCCTATTCGAATTGCACCGGTAATGCTTTGTTCGCGGTAAAGACACGTCGTTCTGCACTGAAAACTTACCTAGGTTTTATAAAAAATCCGATATGTCAAAAGTATTCAACGAACACTGGTATTTTGCCAAAGAACTGCAAAGTTGCAATATGCGGCGGAGGAGTCATGGGAGCGTCAGTAGCCTATCATTTGGCTCAACTGGGATGGGGCCCACAGACCATAGTCATCGAACAAGACAAGTAAATCAGTCATTATTAAAAGTGCTCCTGATGAAAATTGGGTATTGAATACTAATATTGATTTTGCCCCCAGATTAGGCGGTGGAAACAATTCTTTTTCATCGGATCTAGTGGGTGTTTTCAAACCTACCCTGAACCAAGTCAAACTATGTCAATCCAGTATAAAACTTTACCAAGAATTAGAGTCTCGAGGTTTTCAAACCGGCTGGAAGCAATGTGGTAGCCTTTGTATTGCCCGGACAAGAGATCGCATGACTGTTTTTAAAAGAATGAAATCCCAATCTGGGTAGGAAACAGACTTATAATTTTCCCCAACATTATAAATTCTATCTCTTTAACAAAATGTTTGTTTAAATTAGTCCTTGGGGCATCAATTGTGAAATAGTTGACCCACAACGAGCAAAAGAACTTTGCCCGCTTATTAGGACTGATGATATTAAAGGAGCATTATGGATACCAGATGATGGTGTAGCAGATTCTTACAAAATATGTCTATCTCTTTTTGAAGCTGCCAAACAAAAAGGTACTTCAATATAATAATTATTATTTCTTCAATATTTTGTTTTATAAAATATGGTAATAATACATTTTCACTTCGTTTAGTAATTCAATCTTAACTGTATTTTATTTGTTCATTAACACCTTACCATTTACTTATAAGTTTTTTTTTTGTGAATTTTACTTATTTATTTTAGTTGTATTGCTCTTACAATTCTTTATTTAATTTTTTTTAAATATTTTTTTTATATCTTAGGTTTGTCTCAATTCATAACATTTGTCTTGTGATTTCTAATCAATGGAATTTTCTTACTTAATAATATAATTAATAATGCATTTTTGTTGTTTTCAAATATATTATTAACAGGGTTGCAAGATTTTGAGTACTTGATTATAATTTTGTATCTTTTCTATTTATTTTCCTCTCATATTTTTCTATACATAGTTGCGTTTTTTTGTGTACTTTGAATATATAAATGTGTGTCTATAAGTTCAATATTGTTTGTACATTTCAATGTTGAGTAATATATGTTTTTCTTCATAGAGATTAAGTTTTAAGTTCAATAATTTTTGCTTTCTAAAATTTGTTCAATTAAATGTATCCTACACACAATATTTACCTTGGAGTAAATTGGAGTAAGTTATATATTTTATTGTATTTAACAGTTTATATGTACTTTGATTTATATTAGTCGAATATATTTAATTGAATTATAGCAATGAATTGTTTATGTTTGCATTTATAAATTAATATTTTAGAATAAATATTTTTTATATATTACGGTTAAATAATTATTTATTATTCAGATGTTGAAATCTTTAGGTGTTACAGTTGTGGAACATTGTAAATTATTGGAAGTAGTCTGTGATAGTGGTAAAGTCATAGCAATTGATACAACAATGGGATCAGTTGAATGTGATTATTATGTAAACTGTGGTGGATTTTGGGCACGTAAAATTGGACAATGTAGTAATCCTACAGTCAAAGTACCTCTTCACCCAGTTGAACATTATTACCTTCGTACAAAACCTATACCAAATCTTGATTTTTTAACGCCAGGTAATTATACTTAATAAGATTACTCAGATAAATTGGAAAACACATTCATGTATAATACTATATAATTTAATCATAAACGTTATTTTAGTTGTTAGAGATCTAGATGGCCAAATATATTTTAAAGAATTAAATGGGTGTATACTAGCTGGTGGATTTGAACCTGAAGCTAAACCTGCATTTGAAGACATGAAATGCCCTGGTAATTTGTAAATTTGCTTTTTTTTTTTTTTAGTAAAAATAAGCTTTTGATATTTGTACTCAACCTTTTTTTTTGCACTTACTAAAAAGGCCCTTAAATTCTGTGTGCCCATGGGCTTCTGCATAGTCTTAAATAAAACCCGGTTCTTAATAATAATAAAAAGTTATGTCTGATTGAAAATAATTGTTTATAATATATATATATATATATATCATCTCATTAACAGAAAAATGTAAACATTTTATTTATCAAGAGTTAAATATGTTTTAAAATAACTAATATTCTTATAACATAAGTTATATGTTCTCATACATTAATTACTATTGATATGAATTTGATAGCCATAATAATTTATCAAATAATTAATATATCACTTATGTGTATAATTTTACTTAATGTAAATAATAAAAATATTAAATTTACCAGATAAGTTATTTAAGTTATAATTTAATGTGATTTTAGATAATGCAGCTGGTAGAGAATTACCTGCAGATTGGGATCACTTCCACGTGCTACTTGAACAGCTATTACATAGAGTTCCATCATTAGCAAATGCTTCACTTGATAGCCTAGTGAATATTGCTGAAACATTTTCTCCAGACTGTAAATGGATTGTTGGTCAAGCACCAGAAGTATGAATATTTTAATAATACTTTTCATCTTTATCATGGTATTAATTAGTATTATATAATTATTATAACACTAATATAAATTTTAAACTTATTTAATTATATTAATATAAAACATATTCTTGTTTAATAATTTGATTTTCATGTTTGAGTAAAAACTATTGAAATAATAATGAAATTGATCATTTTTGTGCTTTTTGTTTCTAAACTATTAATAACTGTATCATATTTTATTTTTATTCAATAATGATAATAATTATTGACCAATTTGTCTGGATTCATCCCCAATTTTGTATGATACTATTTTAAGTAGCATGTACACAAGAAATAATAAAAGTATACATTCAAACTAGTAATATAATATAGTCATTGAAAAAAAAAACTGATTGAAAGTATTTCCTTTTTATGTGTATAGACATTTAACGATGTAAAAAAGTTTTTCAAATGAATAATATTAGTTCATTTTTCAGATTAAAAACTATTATGTGGCTGCTGGTATGAAAACTGTTGGTATATCAGCTGCAGGTGGTGTTGGCGAAGGAACTGCTCAAACTATTGTAAATGGATTTTCTAAGTATGACTTGTATGAATTAGACATGAGTCGTTTCTTAGGATTACATAATAACAGAAAGTTCCTTAGAGACAGAGTAAAAGAAGTACCTGGTATGCCTTATTTGTTTTTTAAGTAAAAACATATTTCTCATAAAATATTATATTTTCAAATTATTTAAAAATATTTTATATTAAATATCTATTCTACAGAGCATTTCTCTATAAATAAATTTTTAAAATAGTTCATAAAAATAATACTCTTAAATTCTTTATCAGTTATCCAATTTATTAATATATATTTAATAATATTAACTTTTATCAGTTTTTTTTTTTTTTTTTAGGTAGACATTATAGTCTTCCATATCCCAATAACGAATTTAAAACTGGACGTAATTTGAGAATGTCCCCAATTTATCCAAAATTAAAGGAAGCCGGGGCTGTTTTTGAGCAAGTTATGGGATATGAAAGGCCAAGTTGGTTTGAACCAGAATTAGCAAAGGGTTTGTTATAATAATTAAATTTATAAAACTTAATATACATCTTTTGTTCATTTTTTAGCACATTTAAATGGTACAGCTAATTCAAAACAATTTGTTATTGCCAAGACTAATTCATTTGGAAAGCCTGATTGGTTTGACATTGTTGAGTCTGAATATGAAGCCTGCAGAGAAAGTGTTAGTCTCTTGGATTATTCTTCTTTTACAAAACTGGACATACAAGTGAGTAAACTTATATAATAGTAGTTTTTATTTAAAATAATCAATTTTTATCATTTTAAAAAAAATTATCAATTTTTTTTTAAAATAAAATAAATAAATAAATCAATTACTCAAAACAATTAAAATTGTTCTCCCTATGTAATGTGTATATTTAAGGTCAATATTAAATCCTGTATTTTAGATTTCTTACTTAAAAGTGTTTATAGAAAAAATATTTTGTGAAGTTAATACATTTTTTAATTTATTCAAATTTCAGTATCTAAAAATTAAAATAATTGCACCAGTTGGTTGACTATTGTATATTTTATAATACTGATATAAATAAGAAAGCTTAAATGTGTTGTGGAATTAATTTTTGTAAATTAAAAATTATTTAAAATTAAATCTAATGATATTGGGAAAAAATATAGTGGTATGTAAACTAAAGTCCCAAAATGAAATATTTTGGAAATATACATTTAATACTCTGATATTTACTATAGCATTTACGAACCACATTTTTATATAAAGAAAACTGAAAATTTGATTTTTTTGGAAATACTCTATTGTATGACCATGAAAAAAATCATCTATAATCATGCTTAAGCATAACCTTATTCATTGAAATATTTTATTATCATATAAAATTTAATAAATAAATAATAAATAAAAAAATAAATAAAATTAAAAAATTAAAATTAATTTTTAACTGTTATTACATATTGTGTGATATTTAGTGATTTATTATAATAATAAGACCAGACGGTATCAAGTTTAAGTAACATTTGAACGTACCAGAACATATTTTAAGTAATTTTCACTGGGTGGCACTTCAATAAAATTGTCTACCATCGTAGTTCATGAACATGGTATTCTTCTACAGAGGAACATACAGGGAAAATCAACTCCTGTCACTACAGTCATTATAAGAATGTGTTGGTTAGTGGTACGATCACTCACCGCTGGTAGCATTCAATTATTACTGGAGGGGTACTAATGCCACATACTTTGTATATTAAAATATGTTCTGGAACATGCATATGTAGATACCAACAAATAAGAGTTAAACAAATCACTTTAAAAAGACAATACATTTAGCAGTTAAGCATATAAATTATATTATTTATAAATACTAATATACCATACAATCCTTCTTTAAATATCAAACAAAGTTATTTCTTTCTAATAATTTCAAATTCTGTATGCGTATAATCTGCAATATCATTTTGATTTTTAAATTCTACTTTTTCAATACTGCTAGCTGGACTTCCAACTTCTTTCAACCATTTTTTCATCTCTTCAATTTTATCCGGGGGCCCTTGTATTGTACCGATCACAGTTCCTTTTGGAGTGTTTTGACACCAACCTCGTAATCCTAATTTTTTTCCTTGCTCTTGGGTACATTTACGAAAAAACACTTTTTGAACACGGCCAAATACTTCAAAGTCAACGGTTTTAAGTCTAGATGACATATTGACTAATAGTTTCTCGAATAGTGTTAAAACTTAGAATTGGATATACTTTTATAATTTTAAGTGCCTAATTTTTATGTTGTCTAGTTATCTGTTATTTATTTGTTGATAAGAATCAAGGTTACTACTATAGTAATATCCAAGATATATCTTAAACCATAAATATTAAATCGTGGTAATATTTATTAACCTTGGATAAGAATTGTTGATAAGAAACATTTCATAGTATTTATGGTAACTGGTAACAATTATTTAATATTATTATGAACAATTATTAATATAGTAATAATTATTTAAATATTTTAGAGGGAGAAAAATAAAATGCTACTAAAATATTTATAACTGCCCATCTGCTACCAGTTTTTTTTTAATCCTTGATCATATTAGTTACCTTCAACCAAGAATTATTAATTTCATTTTTTATGTCTGTTAATTAAGAATTAGGTTTTTTATAATCTAGAAACTAACAACAATGTAATACTTTTATTTTTATTTTTATGAAGTCAATCTTTATGTTTCCAGTCAAAGGGTTCGGAAGTAGTGAACTCGCTACAATATCTTTGTTCAAATGATGTAGATGTACCAATTGGCAGTATTATTCATACTGGTATGCAAAATGTTCGTGGAGGTTATGAAAATGACTGCAGTCTTATTAGACTATCAGAAAATCAGTAAGTTTTTTTTTTTTTTAAATTTATTTTGCATTCAGATTAAACTTATTTTATATTAGTTATATGATGATTGCACCGACAATTCAACAAACACGATGCAAAATTTGGATTCAACGCCATTTACCACCTGATAATTCAGTATCTTTGACTGATGTTACTTCAATGTTCACTGCCATTTGTATAATGGGTCCTTTTACACGACACCTGTTGTCTGATTTAACAGAAACTGATTTAAGTCCTAAGTCATTTCCTTTTTTTACCTATAAAGAATTAGATGTTGGCCTAGCAAATGGAATTAGAGCATTAAATCTCACTCATACTGGAGAACTAGGTTATGTTTTATACATACCTAATGAAGTAAGATCATTACATAAACAATGATATTTAAAAAAAATTAGGTGTTTAATAAAAAAAATATGTATTTACAATTAAATCATGAATTTTGAAAATAGCCCATCTCAAGTTTTTCTCAAAATAGATTTTTCTGTGCATTTTTTTCATTTACACATGTAGATCGATATATTATAAGTGAGAAAGGCTCATCTTTCTTTTCTATTATGATGAATTAACTAATTAATTATTATTCATTGCTAAAATAAAGAAAATAATTCAAAAGAAAATCAGTATTTTTAGTTTCTTAAAAAATTTTAATTTTCAGCTATGAGCCCTCTATGAAATTCACGATTCAATTGTATTATTAATATATTTTACAAACTTAATAAATAATTATTAAAAGTATAGATAAAGCATTTATTTATTTATTTTTTTGTATAAACTATTTGTTTATTTACATATTATTTTTAATAGTTATGTTTAAATTAAATTTTTTTCTTACTTTACTATATACTTTACCTGTATAAATTGTTAAAAAATATTAGTAGAATAAAGTATAATTTTTATTGCTATGTTTTTCATCTTGACAAAATATCTTATTATAACAATGTTTGGTAAATGTAATTATTTTTTTAAAAACTTAAAAATATATGTAAAATATAAACATTTAATAATAAACAAAGGGAAATCTACATCTTAAATCATTTGTAATCAATTAATCATTATTAACATTTGATTTTGGAATTGTATAATAGATATTGTAGTTAAATTTTTATTATAATTGCTTATTGTTTTAAGTAGTAGTCAGTTAGAAACTTTTGTAAAAATGTATTTTTATTTGATTTTATTGTAGTTTGCTCTCCATGTTTACAATTCATTGATTCAAGCTGGAGCAAAATACAATTTGAAACATGCTGGTGGTTATGCAATGAAGGCATTAAGAGTAGAAAAGTTTTATGCATTTTGGGGCCAAGATTTGGATACAACAACTACACCATTAGAATGTGGAAGATCTTGGAGAGTGAAGTTTGATGTGAGTTCTATTAAAAATGTACTATCATATTATTTTTTTTGAAAATTTTTTTTTGTTTTTAGAAAGGAACAAATTTCATTGGACGAGATGCTCTATTACGTCAACAAGAAGAAGGCATAAAGAGAATATATGTTCAATTATTATTGAATGATCATGACCCAGATACTGAATTGTGGTGTTGGGGAGGAGAACCAATTTTCAGGGATAGAAAATATGTAGGATCTACAACGACAGCTAGTTATGGGTTTACATTTAAAAAACAAGTACATTTTTTGTATAAATTATACTAAGAAATTGTCGTATTATGTTATTATGAAAATAACTTGTAAAAAAAATTTTGCAGGTTTGTCTAGGATTTGTTCAAAATTTAGATAGTCATGGCAATGCTTTACCATTATCAAATGAGTATGTATTATCGGGTGAATATGAAGTAGAAATAGCAGGAGTACGATACCCAGCAAAAGTTAATATAAACAGTCCAAATTTACCAACCAAATACCCAGATAAAGAACGTGAATCCTATTTTGCTACCAGAGATAAAATGGTATCTGAACCATTGTTAAGAGAAAATTAATGAGTTGATACAATTATTAAAATTGAATTAATTGAAAAATTCCTAAATGTTCAAAAAAAAATTAAAGTTTCCTATATTCTTAATCATCATTGAATGGATCTTATAATTTTGATTTTACTGTTTAGAAACCAAAGTATTAGTAGTATGCAGAGTTTATACAATCATATTTTAATAATTATATTACTAGAAAAATAATATTGATGTTTTTGTTTTCCTCCTACCTATTATAATGATAATTTAATTATTGTGCTTGTTGTTTTAGAAAATTGTGTGTACAAATAAATAACACTTAAATTCTTGTATTATAAAATGACTAATAACATACATTTTTATTCAAAGGAGATACTTCATGAAGTTTCTCTTCCTTCAACTTGTTGAGATTCTATTACATATATTTATAAAATTGTGAATACAAATTCTAGTCTTAATAAATGAATTGTAAACTTTTTATATTATAAATTATATTAGTATTTATTTGAGATTGATTTCAAATTTTAAAATTGCTTAAAATTTTTTTAATAAAAGTACCTGAATTTTATGCGGGTTTAATATTTTTTCAATAAAAATAAATTTCATAAAACTATATTTGCTCTTATGGAAATGGAAACTTATATATACTTATATGTACCATTGGTTATATTAGTAAATAATACCATGTGATCCTTCTCTGATTCCTAAGCTACTAAATTATTGTTTAGTACTATATGTTGATAAGTATGTTTCCCATGCATAACTTTTGTTATATTATTATTATTATTATTATTATTGCACAAGTAAAATAACTACTTGTCATATTTTTTTTGATTTAAGTAATTTCACAAAAAGGGTACTGTATCACTACAGGTAGGTACATATAATAACTGACAATACTGTACACAATATGCAGGCCCATATTTAAAAATTTGGCGCCCCTGGGTATATAATTCTATAATGAATAGATGTTGTATACGGTGACTCTTCTCCTTCGATGGCGACCGTTAAAAAATGGTTTAATGAGTTTCAACGTGGTTGCACATCGGTTTTTGATGAGCCACGCCCAGGTGCCCCAAAAACAGCTACCACGGAGGATAATGTGACAAAAAATCCACAATCTCGTATTGGCAGACCGCTGAGTAGAAATTTGAGTCAAATGAGGTCATTGACACTACGGAGACCTATTTTGCAGACCTCGAGAATACATATTTTTTAGACGTATTATCATAGGCATGCGCAGGGGGTATGCAGGGTATGCAACTGCATACCCTAAACATACAGCCTTCTTTCTAAAATTACAAAAAATAAATAAAAATTATGACATATTTGGTCTTATGTATATTATGTGATTTTGTATTACATTATGATTTTTATTAAATTTTTATATTCAATTCCAGACAGTTTAATTTATTTTTGAAACACAAATCATATTCTATAATAGCGATTTAATGTGTTAATGAAATTAATAAGTACAATAATTCAATCCCAAAAACATTATTGGTGATATTAAGAACTCAACTGTACGCAGAATCGTTTTATGATCAATTTTGATTATTTATCAAATTTATATTGTATTTCATTTAAGTATATGATTACGTTTTTATTTATTTACGTTATTTTACGTATTAATCGAACCATTTCAAGCGTCATGTATTTCATTTTTTTTTTTTGTGATTTATTTTAAATTTTAATTATGAAGACAGTTATAACGATTAAGAAATGGCTATACAGTCACTTTCTCGGAGAAAAAAAATTAAAATTTTAAATTAAATAGTTATTAAGAACCAGAATTTCGAACGCTTAAATTAACTCAGTTTTAGGCGGGGGAGTATGCAGTGACAGCCTTTTGCATACCCTAAAAAAGAGGTCTGCGCACGCCTATGCGTGTAAAAAAGTTGGAACATCGCTAGGTCAAGTGTATCGAGCCAAAAAGATACTATGTTGAAAAATAAATTGCCACTTTTCCAAAATGTTTGTTTTTCTTTTTGTAGGCTAAGTATTTATCGGAACACTCTCGTACATCTAGTCCTCATGAATAAAACAATGAGCTTATTGATAATAAATTATGTCGATATTATAAATATGCCCAACATTTGAATTAGACCGATAAGAACATGATATTAAAGAGATGCGCTATGGCGTTCTGGGTAACTTAATACGCAACAGGGTCGCGGAAAGAATACACAAGAAAAGAAAACCTCTTCAAATAAAGACATTGGCAACACAAAGCATAACAACTTGCTTAGATATATTAACGTGAAGCATCAGGATTTTCAAAAATATTTGAATGAGAAATAGTGCATCCATGTTATGAATAACAAATAAAACGCTATATTGATCCTTCTAATCTCGCCCACGCTAAAGAAAAATAGTTAGAAATATTTAAAAATAAATAAATAGAAATCATTTAAGTAAAGGTGAATAGCAAATATTAAACCTACAACAGACCTTAGTTTTAAGTTGGTTAATTTTTTTTTATAATTATAATAAATTGTTGTACCTAAATTAGAACTTCTACATTTAAATAATTCCGCGACACGGATTAACACACCGCGACGGAAACAACAATAATTATTGTTGAGCCTTAAGGCTCTGTCTTATCTAATCTATGTCCAATTTTATTTGTCTTATTCTATTCACGTTTGTTAAATATTGTCATTCTTACAAATTATATATTTTATAATTCCTGCCCATTGTATATATTCGTATTAATACTAATAAAATAAAAAAATAAATTATAATTGATTTTTCTTTAATTATTAAAGTGTAATTAATTATTGAAATATTGTATTTATTCTTTTTGTTAGAGCAAACAGTCGAAATCTGGGAGCCGATGCAGAGTGAAACAAACTTACGAGTGACAATCACTTATCTAATTACTCCCAGGAATAACTATACATCATTTTTATTTTGAATAACAATTGTAGCTAGGGTTGAACAGCTGTTCATTTGTTTTGTCTTCTAATTGTGGATGTTCTTTTTATTGTTTGATGCCTTGTTGATTTATTGTTCTTCTATTTCTTGTTTTATGATTTATGATAGGTATTTGTATGATACATTATTGGCGTTTTGGAGTCGTATATATTCATGGGCGTAGTTAAAATTTGAATAAGGGAGGGGCAAAAACATAAAATGATTAGTGTTAAACTCGTAATTCAAATAATCTACAGATAGACCATTGGATAACACATAAAACGTCAAAACGACTACACGTGTAGATATCACTCGGTTCCACTAAACTATTTTTAAAATTATATCTTAGTTAATTTTTGATTTTAATGTAAAACTCACACGTTTGGTATAAACGAATATAATTCAGTTTGAGGCGCAGGGGTGGGCAAGTGGCCTTCCTGCTCCCATACACCCATGTATATATTTGTTGTCTATTTTTATGTGTGGTATTTCTTAGTTCATTTTCAAATAATAGTAATAATAGTACTAACTATTTTTAAATTAATAATATATCTTTATATAATTACCCTCATTTAATATTATAATAATAATATTTTAATTCAATTATTTCTATATTTATTTTCAGAACTTGGTTTTTTTTCATCGACCCAAATCAAAATGCCTCCGGAAGCCGGGGATCCGCTTTTAATTTTTTTTTAATTTTTATTGGTATAAATTTGATAATTTTGTAAATTACTTAAACTATTATAAAAATCTTATAAAATATTTATATTAAAGATTTATATCTAACTATTTATAAATCAAGTTTAACATTTTTAAATTAATAATAAATCTTTATATAATCACTGTAATTTCATATTCAATTAATAGTATTTTAATTCAATTATTTCTGTTTCTTTTCAGAACTGGGAATATTTTATCATTTACTTCAATTAAAATTGTTTCGGAGCCAGGTAACTATTTTTAATTTTTTTTTTTTTCATTTTTTAATGTTATAAATATGATAATTTTGTAAATTACTTATTACATTTTTGATTCGATACCAAGTAAAAGTATGGATACTTTTCTTTCGATATCACGTCCATATGTGCACGGCGCGAAATTTTTCGAAAAAACTCGGACGCGTGACTCCACCAATCAGGTGCACCGTCGCCATTGATAACGTTGAACCCGATCGGCGGTTTCCGTTGGTGTGCGCGGTCGCCACATGCGTTATGCGCGTCCGTTACGTTTTGCCTAATTTGTTCTAACACTATCAGCGCTGTTGCTGTTCACCACTCACCGTGCACTAACGTGTTTGCATTACAATTTATAACGGATCCGTCTTAAACGTCTGCGCTTCGTTACTCGACACAGGGTCAATTCACTCTTACCCGTCCATCGTTTACCCGTTCGCCACGGTGTCGACTTTCTCCGCGACGAACCGATAGCACCCCGCCGCCGCCTCCGTCGTTCGCTTCCGAACTGTTTCGCGCCACGTCGACGTATCGTACCGTTACCACCGCAACACACTAGCCATGTCGCTGGAAGACGTAGAGAACATCAAGAAGCGCATCGAGAACTTCAAGAAAACGCTGATGGAGCTTACCGAGACGCCGCCGCCCGGTGTCGATCCGTCGGCCGAGCACAAGGTTCGTGAGATGTCCGCCGAGGTGGTGGATTCGAACCCATACAGGTGAGACGACCCGAACACACTACCGCACATCGGTACCATCCGCTCTTGTGCCAACTTAGTTTCGTCTTTGTTTCAGTCGGCTAATGGCCCTGCAACGTATGGGCATAGTGAACAACTACCAGGACATCAGGAAGTACACCGTAGTCGTGGTCGGCGTTGGCGGAGTCGGTAGCGTTACCGCGGAAATGCTTACGCGTTGCGGAATAGGAAAGGTATGGCGCGGTAGTTGTAACGGTTGCGGTGTTGTGCACACAGTTCAACTTATGGTTACAAATAGCCTCTTGAATATCTGAAGGTTCTGGAGTCTCCAATTGCATTATTGTTGTACTGATGTTCTGCCTAAAAAACTAAATTTATTGTTACCATTTATTTTCATTTGAATACAATGTAATCCGATTAAATCAATGTTATTGTCAAAGTCTATTACACATAGCTTTTTCAATGTACCAAAATGAGTATTGGAATTCTAATCAACTCCACGATTGATCATATGTTGATGCATTTTATTACATTAAAATATTGCTCTCCTGTAACTTAACTGATATGTATCCTATCCTACCTATTTATCGCTGTAATCATTTTATCAATTTATCTGTATCAGACTAGATAGAAAAGATATTTTTGCCTTGAAGTTTGCAACACCATTATTAATTATTATGTTAAATCTGGTATTTTCCAGAACATCTGTATTAAAGGGATTCAAACAAGTTTTGGGGGTATCAAGCCTTACCTATTGTCAACTGTTGAATTTACATGACTTCTTTCGGTTTTTTTAGCTAATACTGTTTGACTATGATAAAGTGGAGTTGGCCAACATGAACCGTCTCTTTTATCAGCCTTCTCAGGCGGGTTTAAGTAAGGTTTCTGCTGCATCCATGACCCTGACAAGAATTAATCCAGATGTCCAGATAGAAACTTACAACACAAACATTACATTGACTACCCAATTCGAAGAGTTCATGAATGTTTTGAAGTACAACTCACACTTTCAATATTATCATGCATATTCTACTAATATACTGCTAACTTTATTTTTTCAATAGAACTGGAGGAATTAATGGCGATCGAGTGGATTTGGTATTGAGCTGTGTAGATAATTACGAAGCTCGAATGGCCATTAATACAGCTTGCAATGAATTATCATTAAACTGGTTTGAGTCCGGTGTTAGTGAAAATGCTGTTTGCGGACATATTCAGTACCTAGTACCTGGAGAATCGGCTTGTTTCTCTGTATGTTGATTTAATATCTTTTGATTCGATTTATTCTATATCAACATTTTAATAGCATGTAGTAATGAACTTCATTATTGTAAAATGGCTTAAATTATATTTTGCAACTGTTTAGTGTGCACCTCCATTGGTTGTTGCTTCAGAAATAGATGAAAAAACATTGAAAAAAGATGGTGTTTGTGCAGCAAGTTTACCAACCACAATGGGTGTTGTTGCAGGGCTGCTTGTTCAAAATACCCTAAAGTAATTATTAAAGATAAATTATTATCGAATAATGCTACATTCATTAATTAATTTTATTTTCACAACAGACTGTATCTATTCATTAATGTATGAATACAACACAATGAATAGTTTAAAATATGCACTTTCAGCTTAATTATTGCATATTGACTTCATTTAGCTCTGTATGCTTTATTTTTGGGTTCTACAGTGTATAAATGTTTAATTTGTTAGAATATATATATATATATTTTTTATGTGTATGTTATTTCTAGAAAACTGTTAGGTTTTGGAACAGTTTCGTGGTACTTAGGATACAACGCGCTTACAGATTTTTTCCCGAGCATGATGATCAAACCAAATCCTAATTGTAGTGACAGGTTCTGTATTATGCGACAAGAAGAATTTTTAAATCGAGTAAAAACAGAACCACAATGCACAAATGAAGAATTGTTAGAAGACAAGGTTATTCATGAAGATAATGCATGGGGTATGTTTTAAATTATACAGTGAATTTTAGTTTTCAAATAATAATTCAATTGTTATTTTAGGCATATTGTTGGCAGACGATGACACCACAGCAGTGTCTAACGAAGCAACTGCTGAATTTGTAACAACACCAAAAGCAGAAAATATAAACAAAAACACTAGCATTAAAAGCGAAGAAGAATATTTGTCATTGAACGATGGATTAGAATTTGCCTATCCATCGGCTGATCAAACGGCTCCCAATGAAGAATCCTTAGTAAAAGACACGGATTTAACCGTTGATGAACTCCGAGCACAAATGTCATTGTTATAATAGCAATGTAAATTATATGTTACTATTTTTAATAATTTGTTGTGCTTACACATTTTCCCCAAATATTGACTTGTTTTAAGAATTTTTATATCTGTACTTTTATTCTCAAATAAGATCATATATAATATAAATCTAATAATAATATATGTATATATTGTAAGTGTATATTATCAACATGAAATTAGTGATGCAATGATTTATTTTTATAAAGATGTTTAATGTTTAGTATTTTAATGACAATATTTTGATTTATTAAAATATTTCATATACCTAATAATTATTTGCCTTGCAATTTATTAATTTTTTTAAAAATATTATTTCACATTTTTTTTTTTTTTTATAAAAATACAGTTAGATAATATGTACTGTGGTGTTCATTGTCTCTAATCCATTCATAAGTTATGCAAAAGAGTAAGAAGTTGTTATGAGTTATTTATTTTGTTTCTCAAATTGCTTACCCAAATAGTACATAGAAAAAGATCAAAATACTTATATTACACCAACAGAAAATTATTATCTTTATATTTAGAAAATAGTAACACATTAATATTTTTTCTTCCAAAAAGATATTTATTGTTAATCAATATTAACTTAACGACAGGAAAATGCGGTTTCTTTACAAAACATTAATTTTTCTCTAAATAATAAATATTGATTTTAATTCAAATAATGATGGGCCGCTTTAAGTTGAGCCATGGTAACGGTCATCATTCAATGATTATATAATTATAAGAATAGTACAAAAAAAAAAAAAAAAAAACTATACACAATTTTGAACATGTGCTTTTAGCAGTTTATTATATTGAGTACTGTAAAATATAATAAATATTTAAAAAAAATCATAATTGAGTAATAAAAAAAAAATTAAATAAGAGACTATTAGTAAGCTTCATCATCATCATGATTGTTAGCGTCAACCTCTTCGGGAGCAGCAAATCCTTCCTAAAATACAATAAACAACAGTATCTGAGTAAAAAACATTAACAACAATTTATATGAAATTATTACATATAATTAGGACCTTTGATACATGAAATGAAATAAACGGTTGATGTTCTTCACCAAAAAAATATATTAATACTATAATTTATAGAACAATTTTAACGACTTAAATAATATACTTTAGAATTTGAATTTAATATTACAATTCTTTTATTAAAAAAAACTATTCTATTAATAAAGTATTAAGCCAATAAGAAAATTAAAAATGGTTTAGTTCTTCATTTTACTAATGAATTCCAGATCTTACTAGGGTAGCAAAAAGTTTTAATTATAATTAAATTCTAGGGTTATAATTATTTTTAGACTTAATAAGATTCACCATTTTAAAGACGTGTGAAATTCTTTAGACAAAATAATTGTGTTGTAGCCAAAAATTAAATAAGAAAAATGTTACTAATAAAATTGGTTGTCTATAGTAGTAAAATTTGGTAACAGCCAATTAAAAAAAAGAAAATAAGTAGGGAAATAAAAAATGTAGAGTATATCAAGATTACTTATTTATCATTGGTTTACATTAAATAAAAACAAATGAACATACCTCAGTAGCATAAAGAATTTCCAATACTTTAGAAAATAATGGATGTTCACTTTCTTGTTCCTGGCATATCACTTCAATATCACGCAGTTTACCAAAATAGAAATCACGTTCTTTTTCCAAACCTTCAACTGTAACTCGTAGTTCGCTCATCTTTGTTAAAAATAAATTGCACCATGACATATTATTGATTTTAAGCGAAACCTTTAATACTAAATTACCTGTCTAGTAAGTTCATCAATTTTATGATCACCTCTATCACGCTGACTAGCATGTGGTGCTGGTCTTGTAGAAGGTACACGATTTGACACTAAAAACAATTTTATTAATTAAATGTTTATGAATATAAATATTTTTCTTTGAATCAGCTAAAAAAAAAATAAATTGTAACAAAGCATAACAAAGCAATATGCTAGTATGCTGGGAATTAAGGATAATTTCGAGTTAAAATACGAACTATTGCTGTTACTCGCGGGACGGAACAAACGATTAGCGATAGTAGCATTTCTAGGCGGTACTGCTGCTGATGGCTTTTTGACAGGACCTCCTCTGGCTGCTAGTATGGTTGATCCCATACCCTCACCACTGCGCGCACCTACTGGGTCGTATTCATTCATTTGATAATTGGTATCAAAAAACTTTTTGAACCATTGCAAAAACTCGAAATTATCCTGAAAACGTCCCTTGACCAGCCTATCTATAGGTACTATCTGCAAAATAAAAAAAAATAAATAAATAAAAATAATACCAGAACATTTTTTTTTTAATTATAAATAAATAAAATAATATAATAATAAAATAGTAAGATATTTTTACGAATATCCAATATTATAGAATATGTGTATTAATTAAATGTTTATAAAAATTAATTACTACATAATGACATATGGATAAATGACCGCCAAAATTAAAAAAAAAAAAAATTCTCAGCACAACAATACTTCATATTTAGTTTTAAGAAAAACCAAATTAACATTTCAATTCATGCATAACTACTTTGTCACTAATGAATATCTTGTATTATAATAAATTAGATAAATGCATGATATATTAATATGATATTTATTGAAATTGTATTCACAATTATTTAAACAAAAAGTTATTATATTGGTTTGTAATAGGGTTGTAGACAGAAAGTATGAATTTTTCTTTTTTTTTGTAAATACATAAATTATGCCAGCATGAGATAAAAAATTAAATTAAAAATCTATAAGGATAATTTTCAAAATTAAATACAACAGAATTATATTGAAATAACAATAAATAAAAATTAAATTGATTTACATCAAATAAAAAAAAATACCAATCACCATCAAACATACTAATTATTAAATTATATTTATTTAACTGTTTAAATTTTAACTCGCCATACTAACTTAATGAAAAATATCTAATTTAAATATTTTGTTTATAATAAATTACCAAGAAGTTAATTCAATCTACTTAAAATATAATGAACTATGAAGAAGATTTGTATAGTCAATAGTTGATTAAGGTAGATATATTTTATAATTTATATATAATACGAAATATGAGATTTTGATAATGAAGACTTTTGTTCACATGCAACTATAAATATACTATAAAACAAATTGACTTAGTTTGTCCGCCAATGAAAATTAAATTTAAGTTTGGAACATTTACTATAACATATATATACTTAACATAAATCCTAACTAAAACACACAAAAAAAAAAAAAAAACCGAGCATTTATGAATACCATGTCCATAGGACGGGCTTTTATAAGCACGAGCAGCTTGTGGTACACGATATGGTGGGGGTGCTTGGAAACCACATGCTTCAGCTCCACCAGAACCAATCATAACACCACCACGAGCTTCAAGACCATCATAATCACGTCCATCATAATTAGCATCAAAGAATTTTTTGAACCATTGTAAAAATTCAAAGTTGTCCTGGAAACGTCCTTTGATTAGGCGGTCAACAGGAATCACCTGTAAAGTAATTTTTTTACCACCCAAATTGTGGGTGAATACAACCCCCACAAAGAGATACATCTAATGTATTCTAATAATACAATAGTAATTTATTTGAACTAATAACTTATAAGATAATATTGTTTAATTTTTTTTATTTTACATTAGCTACAATAATACTATAATTAATTTCTTAGAATAACTTATTTCAAACTTTGGGATTAATAAAATATGTTTAACCATTAGTTTATTTTATTGCTTAATATATTTGTATTTTTTTTACTAAAAATAATATACCTTGTCAACTGTCATCTTTTTAAAAGCGCCTTGGAGAATTTTAAAATTTTGTATATATTCATGTTCGAGATTTGTTCTAAACTTGACTCGCTTCATTTGCACACTACCTATAAAAATAATATTAATTATATGTATATTTATACAAAAGCAAAGAATTTAATGAAATCATAAAATATTTTATGGAATTATAATTAAAAAATAATTAAGTATATATAAATATGTATATGTTATACATCACTTATTTTATAAATTTGTTTAAATACTAGATACCAGTAATTTAATTATTAACTCTATAAAATAACTGATTTTATTTCTTAAGGTGAAGTTTAAATTAAAGAACCAGAATGTGTCATAAATTAAAATTAATTGTTTACTGAAATAATAAGATAAGAATAATATTTTATATACAATATGAAAAAAATTTACTTAACTAAAATATTCAAAAATTATTATTTTTTTTCGTTTTGAATAGTTTTCTAAACATTAATATCAAATATAAGTTTATATTTATTGTGTTTTTAAATATTCTTTGAAAATTGAAATTGAAATAAGTTTATAACATAAGTTTAATTAAATATAAGTACCAAGAAATTAATAGAAAACAAATTACTTTTTTATGTAAGATTTGAGTTGATAATTGTCTATAATATACTAAAAGCAGACATGAAAATCAATAAACTAATGTTGTCAATAAACTATAATACCCACATTCTTACCTTGGTAAACACATCAGTATACATTTTAGGATTGAGAAGATAAAAACTAACTGTACTACAATTACAAATACATTTAATTTATACTATAACAATTCAACAGTAATATGTTACATGATTTATATTTAAAAATATGAGAAATTCAGAATTAAATAATTGTACAGTTAAACATTAATCAAAATTGTGGTACACACAAACTTAAATAATAAAATTAATAGTATATTAACACATATGTATGCAAAATTACATTTTGTACTTGCTTTATCTGTGTTTAAAAGATAAACTTTAATTTTTCTATTAATGTAGTCATGATATTTTGGTTAAAATATGTCATAAAAAAATATATAAAATAGATTGATATTTACTATAATAAATTAAAAAAGTTACTTATTTTTACTTACCAGGAAATAACATATCCATAAATTGACAATAGGCAGCACCTGAACATAATTCTTCTATTTTTGTAAAATTTGCAGACAAAGTATCATTTACCCATGCTAACATGTCATGACGACTTAGGTTATCTGAAGTCACATTAGTCGAATACACATTTATAGCCATTTCGAATTGTGGTTCTAAAATAATATCAAATTTCTATAAATTAATAACAATTTGAAGTTTTTTAATTGTTATAATGAAGGAAAGAAAAATAATGTTAAGTGTTTCTTTAAAGTGAAGTTCATCAACACTAATTACTGTAATAATGCTCTTACATTCATGTTTTAATTAGGAAACTATTAATATGAGAATATTAAACAGTTTATCTTATTAAAATAGAAGACAGTACTATTATTAAGACATTTTAATAAGTGCATATAAAAATCATATAATTTCATTTAAATAACTCTTACTCATTTTCGTTTTTTTTTTTTAAACTTTTAAGTAGGTAAGTACCAATTACTTAATTTTTACTGGAATAAATATGTTAATTTAATATAAATATATTTTCAGTAGAATTATTTAAAAATTAAATTATAATTTAAATCATAAAAATTTAGCCAAAATTTAAGGTATTTGGGTATACCTAATATTCATAAATACATATATTTGTTTGTATTCAGTGAAAATACCAATACTAGAGATTTTTATAATAATTGCAATCAATGTTAAAATTTAAAAATAGTAATTAAATAAAATAAAATAGCACAGTAAGAACTTGAATATCAAATTTAAATGTTTTTAACAGGGTTTTAACTATTTGTTGTTTAAATCCTATAATGAAATAGTACTTATACTTAAAATATTATAAGTATAAAGTAGAAGATGATATGTACAACCATTGATCATAATATATGTGGTACACTTAATATTTAAACAAAAAAATAAAAAAAATGAAAATAAATGCAGACATGATTTTAAGACCTAGTAAAAAAAATTAAAAGAAAAATTTCTCAATTAACAATTTTAATGTTTAACTGAACTTATTTATTTTTATACACAAAAAAATTAATGGTTTATTCAATTGTAGTGAGACTTGCTACTTTTGCCATGAAAAAAAACTAAACCATTCACCATATTTCAAAATTATAGTACTTTAATTAAAATGGTATACGTACTTAAATTCTTATGAAAAAGATATGTATTTACCTTCCTAATGAACAAAAAATAATCCGTCACAAGTATATTAAATGGGTTCTGTCAATTCAAAATTTAACATATAAGAAGTAAATATATATGATTACAAGGACAAAAATAGTAGCTACCTTATTTACCTGGAATACATTATTAAGAAAAAAAGATGAATATTTATTACAAATATTATATTAAGTAACTATACAACAGATGAATGTATAACAGAAGACAAATTACTAATTATGTATTATAAACCATTTATGTCTATGAAATAAGTTCATACCTAATATGAAGTTGGAATACAAATCTTATATTAAGCGCACACCATTGGCAATATTGATAATAAACAAATTAGTACCATATATGTATATTGTACATGTCATATGACAATGTGTAAAGGAGTCATGGAGAGAAACAATTGCTCGAGTAATAAGGTGAAATACAGGTTGGGAAAACCTTGAAGAACGGTATTAGGTTTAAGGTTAAAGTGAGTGCACAGTAATAAAAATAATTTGACTAAACATGGGCGTGATGGTAATTTAACCACAGACGGACGAATAAAATACAAGTGCAACGAAGCGCTAAGAACACACCTAGTGTTGGAAGCCGTTTTTGAAAATCCTTCCACTATCGACAAAAACGTTGGAAAAACTTCGCAGTGTCTGGCGCAAGCGTGGGTACAGAAAAACACGATCACCGCGTAGGTAACTAGGAACCCAACAGTGGTAACGGGAGGTAACCTTTCCGTCGCCTATAGCTACGGTAACAGTGCAATTATTCATGGGGCAGAAAGGTTGGTTCGATTTGTTATGACATAATTTTCCCTTTAGGAATGAATCGGACGGATGGAAAAGGAGATATCAGGATTTACTACCGTGGAATAATCGCACGTTGCATAACCGCTTCACGCGATACACGTTATCATAACAGTCAAAAGACAAACTTTTAATAAAATTAAAACTGATCGGCGCAAGAGTCAGACGCCAAAAACCTTTTGCAGCGAATATTACCTCGAAATAAGGTCACATTTCACAGGCCCTGGGAGGGGTACACCCGATCAGCCGGGCAGCCATAAAAGGTGATATCGCCGTTAAACTCGGGCGACAACACCGAAGAACGGTTACAGTACGCCGTGCGTGGTCGATGATGCCAACACATCGCACAGAAGGCCGTGGCGATCCTTGTACATGGCCATTCGTTACTTATACAATTCGCGTGAGCGGCGGCGGCGGCGGCGGCAGCGTCATCCACCGCCAAACACGAAAATCCCACACAAGCACGACACGTCGATCGGAATAAAAGTTTACCTGTGAAAACAACGAACGGTAGTCGAATGGTCCCAACCAAGCTGGTCCGATGATGATGGCAGTGATTGTTCTTCGGCCCGAAGTCAGTTGATCGGTAGCGATTTTTTTCGATATCGTTAGTGAAGGTGAACGACGCTCGACGTGCTGTTGCAGTTACGTTCGAACGGATCGGAGAGAAAAATATTGAGAAAGCACGGATAAATAAACAAACAGATTTAGAAACCGTCCAAGTCGAACACCTCAAATCGCACACGACTGGCGAGTAAAAAAAAAAAATAAAAGATTTAGTGGGTTATTTCGTACTCGACGAATCGCGTCGGGTTCGCGATGACGGTCTCGACAACGATGACGGCCGACGATTATTTTTTTTCCGTCGCCCGACTTCTGGTTACCCGGTAACGCGGCGGTTACGCGGTACATGCCCCGTCGTCATCGTCATTGTACGTACGTCGCTCCCCCTCCCTTGTCCCACCATTGTCGAGGATAACAAGTGCCGGCACGGCACACGGTAATAATGTGTCTGTGTCACGGTATTATTCGACTCGATCTGTCGGTTAGGTCACGCACAATTCATCGTCGTAAATCCCAGACATTGATGGTACACCAGAATCGTAAAACGACGCGACGTCAAACACTCGTTTCCCGTTTTATTTTTACCGTGGCCCGTAGTTTATTGAAACCGTCAATATTTTCGTACCACAATATTGTACCGGACGGTGGTGTCAGTGGGAATTCCATTTCATCCATGAACCGGCGTATTTCGGCATTGATAACCCGACGTAGTAACTCGTAGTCGTCCTGATTACACCCGTGAGTTACGTTTGATTACGCGCGGTGTAATCATATTTTGTACACCACGTATTTGATGTTGACAATTGATATCGTCCGAACCTGTGCATTGTCCACCGTCCGTCCGTCACTACAATAATTATAGTCATACCAAAAAACCAATTCGGGGTTAGTACGGTTGTCGTTCGTCAGTTTCGACGTTCCAAAGATGGCTAAAATCGTAGCTATTGTTTCCAAGTTCTACGATGATTACGTGAAGACCACGTCGAAAAAACTCAAGATCATCGACGCCTATTTGTTGTACATCATGTTAACCGGAATCGTGCAGTTCACGTACTGTTGTCTAGTAGGCACTTTCCCGTTCAACTCCTTTCTCAGTGGTTTCATTTCGTCTGTCAGTTGTTTTGTACTTGGTGGTAAGTTAGTACATTTAATTACACTCACTTTATGTCTATTATTTGAATACAACAAATCTAAAATAACACTTTCATATTCATAAAAAAAATGCTTGATCTATTAAATGAGGAATATGTCTGTTCAATTTGAGAACGGACAGTGATTAATCATGATATGACAAATTCAAGTGCTAAATATTTTCATTCAACAAATAGTTATGAGTATAATGATAACTATTCGTTCAAATAAATCGACCCAATGGTTACCAAAGTGGTGAATATTTAATTTCAAGTTTAAACAAGAATGTAATTTAGCTTTCTTAGTATTTATAAAAAAAAATTAATCGATCATTGGATATATTATAGATATATTAACATTAACTTTTGTGTTTAAATAATAGTTTTTTAATATAAAAAACTATGCTTTGATTAAAATAATAATTTTAATTATTAAAATATGATATTTTATTTTTCAATTGCTCCTAAACAAAAAAAAAAATTAATTTCTAATAATTCTAACTGATATCTAACTATAGTTTATAGTATAAGGTCCAATACAAATGTAACAAATAACAGTTGGATACTTATAATTTATTGCAAATATTATATTTTTCATAGTAAAGTTTTTCTTATTTAATGATTTTATTTTTTCTAGTATGTTTACGATTACAAGCAAATCCTCAAAACAAGGCGCAATTCAGTGATATAAGTCCAGAACGTGGATTTGCTGACTTCATTTTTGCACATATTGTGCTTCATTTAACAATCATAAACTTTATTGGTTAAACTCAGAAACAAGGTTCTAAATTTAAATTAATTATACGGTTTGATTTTTTTCTAAAAATATTTGTATATAAAAGGTTAAATAAATATAAACATATTCATACACTTATTTTTGTATATTTTTATTTTTCATCAAAAATATTAACATTCACGTTTTTCTTTAATATAAGCCTTAACTAAAAACTATATATTATAACTATATAATTATCACTAAAATAATTAAAACATATATTATAGGACTTTTAATATGACTAGGAACCGAATGTAAACACAATTTTGTCAATAGAATTTTCTTAAGTACATACAATATTTTAGATTAATATTTCAATTAAAAAATAAAGGTGGTACGAAGTGCAATAAAGTCTTCTAGTAGATATCACAAAAAAATATAATATGTTTTATTAATTACTTATTATATTTATACATGATAGTCTGCACTCTATGTGATGCCTTCCATTTAATTAAAAATATTAATAAAAATATAGATACTAAAATGTATGTACATATTATAAATACATGCATATATAATATATGTGTATACTTAAAACCAAAGTGAATAATTCATAACAATACATTAACACTAACCTGTATAGTAAAAATATTTCAACTTAAACATTTAAATATGTAACTAATTATTGCAAATCCTGTGATAAATTTCCATAAATTTGGCCCATCAATACATTAAAAAATTTTTGTATATCCATAACATATTTTTGTTAGAAATTAATAACCATACAAAATAGTTTAACACTTCACTCTTAACCTAACTGTATTCATTATTTAAAATGTTTAAATCATTATTACAATTTGCCCCTTAAAAAAAGTATAATATTTTAACCAATTGAAAATATTTTTATAGTAAAAATAAATAATAATCTTAGGTGGGACATATAAATCACAATTATATTAGAAAAAGAATAGTGTTATATTCTTAAAGTAACTAGTACAAATAAAATTCCCAAAGAAACAGATTTTCAGAATTTATAATTTATTAGGAATTACCTGTATTTTCAATAATTGTTTACATTTTATACAAATAAATTATTTCTTTTTATGTCCTTAAACTAAATCAGATAACGGTTCTAATCACAGTCTTTTCTTTCTTTTTTTTTTTTTTTTTGTGAGTGTATATGAATCCCTTTACATTGTCCTAATTATAATTAGTCAGCTTTTGTTGAACTTTCTCCTTCTTTGATTATGTACCTTTGTCTGGCTCTCATAATCATTGTTTGTTTTCGAGCCCTTAACATATTCTCTCTTTCATCAGGTGATTTGGAAAACTGACTACCCATACTCACAAGATCATCGATTGCAGGTTCATTAAGACTTGTATTACAACTAAAACAAAACAAAAATGAATTAAACAGAATAAATACTTTTATATAATAAACAATTTAGTATGCATAATTAATCATAATTAACTTTCTGTATAAAATATTTTGTAAAATGATTGTTAACTTACCTAGTTGAAGGTGTATTATTGATAAATTGTTCTACGCTGTTAACCATTTGAGGAGTTTCAACAACGAGGGGTTCCTCCTCAATAAATTGTTGAGGTGCAACCAATCTACCTTCTAAAATATTATCAATGGTCAAGTCAACAGAACGAGTAGTTAATAAATCCTCAATAATCATATGCATAGTGAAATATGGAAACATTTGTAGAACCTAAAAAAAAAAAATTGATTAATAATTCAAATAAAAATTAATTTAAAAATATATATCTAACCTGACGAGCCATTGTTTCCAATTGTGAAGTATGTAATTGAGTTGCAGGTCTTGTTAAGGAATGTGTTACTTCAACAGAAAAACTTGGCAACCAAGACAAATATCTGGAACCTAAAATGTGTATTGATAATATTAAACTCCATACAATTTATATTAAATTTTTAAAAATATTAATGCATATTTTGTCATATTAATTAATATTAACTTTTAAACAGTACTCAAATAATTAAATTATATATACATGGTGTCCCACAAGAATGAACCAGTTTTCATTATCTAGTACCTACTCCTATTAAATACAAGTTGTTAATACACATTATAGGTATTTATTGTATCTTATATATAATAAAATATAATAATAACAATAATTAATATTATTGAAGTTTACCATCAAAATGAAAAAAATGATGAGGAATATGCGTGTGTGTTCCCAATGTATCTTGACCAACATTATTAGTTGAATTCATGGGCAAATTTTGATTGTGACCAAGTGTTAATGATAATCTGCATGTTGGACAAGATGGTTCTTGTTCCATCCAAGATTGTAAACAACCATTATGAAATAAATGACCACAAGGTAATTTCCTTGCAGAATCCATTTTTTCCCAGCATATAGCACAATTATCTGAATTTGTATCTAATTCTTCAACAGTGGCCATAGGATAACTAAAAAATGAAATTGTTAATAATTATTTTATAACTATGATTAAATATAACAATCAAGTTTGTCAGAATATGTAAAAGTAATCTCTAATAAAATCATAAATTCCTAATTAATATATACAGATTTTAATATTTCAAAAATGGACAATAAACTTGTAACACCTTAAATTATTCAATATTAACTAGTTATCAACACATAGTTAAAATTAGGGTTCTAACTATACAAACTTTATAAAATACCACATTATTGAATAAAAATGTTAAAAACTTATCCAATAAGATATATAAAATGGTGAGTCACTTATAAACCAAATAAACTAAAACAAATTGTTGTGTTACTTGGCACCTCGGACAGGAACACAAGGCGGTTAGACAAGATATGAGACATAATTTACACTTTGTGTAAGCCCCTTTATCTCTAAAAATATACATTTGAAAGAAATATCATGACATTAAAAAAACAATTCTGAGCAAAAATGTTTGATAAAGTAGGAAATGTTTAAAAATTTAATAAAATATTTACACATCTATGTCAGTATATTTCTGTATTATTTTAATTTTAGAAATATTTAGTGTTCACTCGTACTCATTATGATTGATAATCTAAATAGAATTTAGTTTTTAATAATAGTATTTTTTTATACTACTTTTACAATAAGTATGTCATATGAAAGAAAGCTTAATGTTAAATCTTATCACAATTATGAGTATAAGAACTAAGATATTTTTACAAAAATATTGAACTACTTAGTTTATAAATTATTTCTTTTGTAGTTGGTGGGTAAATTATTTTATTTATTTCCTTTAATTTAATTTTAAATAACATGTTATACAATAATACAATGTTTTAATAAAATAATATTAGTGACATTAATTTTAATTTCCAAAATGTTAATAATATGATTTTAAGAATAATCTAATCAACAAGTATCATAAATTACACAAACATATAGCTATTAGTTAAATTTGTATTAAATGTAATTAAACTTTGAATGAGACAACAGAACACATACAATTATAACAGCAGTACACACATTTAAATTATTTATTTTTTTAATTATTGCACTTACTTTTTTTCTAAATGAGAATGCACCCACAGAAAATTTTTATGTTTTTGTAGTCGTTTTTGAATATCACTGATTAATTGTCTCATATGCATAAATATTACAAAACCAGCCATTGTTAGATATGAACTAGTCCATATAATTGCATGTGAATAATGAAGGATTTCCATCACACGTATACCAAGGTCTAAACCTAATTCTGCATAGTAAATAAATTTACCAGGGCTGGTAGTATGATTTATTGAGTTACGATGAAAAAGTTGGATGTAATGCCGAAGAAATATATGGATGATACTTCCAGCTAACATAAGGCACTGTAAAAATAAAAAATAATTTAAAAAAAATTTCCTTTTAAATAAAAACAATTATAATCACCTCAATGACCATAAAAGCAAATATGTGTTTTGATAGTGTGAGGCCGACAAGATATGCAAAATTCAATAGTAATAAAGAAAATATAAATCCAATAGATAAAAGTATGGACATATGAATATATTTCCAATTCACTCTAGATCCAGTTCCCATGGACATCCACATCTATAACCAAAATGCAATTACATAATTCATACAGGCTTTGAATATACTTATTTTTAATTTTGATTGCACAGTACTAGACATAAATTAGCTATTCTTCAAAATCTGGTAACTAAACAAAATTGTTCATAATAAGTCAAAAATTTTTTTTATCTGTCATTTATTTTGATTCTAGGAAATAATTTTAAAAAAAGATTGAGAATAATACTTTCCCAAAAGATTTTAAAATATTAAACATTTTACTTCAAGTATTTTTAGCTTTACATTTTTATATTGTTAATTTTTTTTAATAGAATATACCAAGAGAAAGTATTTTTAAATTGGATTTTCTATAGTAGAATATTGGATGTTCTATATTCTAAAACACAGACAAATTCTACTAAAGTGAAGCTAATTTATTTAGAGGTTACGAGTATAAATGTATGGAACATTAATTATTAGATTAGGGCAAATATAAATAATTTTAAATACTAAATTTTATGAAATGTTTATATATCTTAAGGTCTTTTATATTTAGGATATTTAAAACTATAAAAATTAATGTCACTAAATATTTTTTCAAGGCTAAATTCCCAAAAAAAAAAATATTAAATAATATAAATTTCCTTATTAATTAACAATT